AAATGTTCCATCTTTTCCTCGGGGACACAAAGTAAGTATGGCCCCGAAAAGGATCTCCTATATAACTTTTGATCGGGGGACATCCAAAATTTGGGAGCTTTTAGTTTGATCTTCTTGGTTTCTTTAACCTCCTCGGGGAGTATTCTATCCACCAAGTACTTGATTATAGGGTCCATCCAACTCAGAGGCTTTTCCTGAGCACACATCAACAGTACTTTCTCAACGCTTACATCTTCTATGCTCAGACTTTCCAGGTAATCAATTGTAATGCGCTGAGTTACTTCTGAAGCCAAAGTCGAGGCAAGACAGGCAATTGCATCAGCATGGTTATTATGATCCCTCAAAATTTGAGGTTCCTCTACCTTTTTGAATCTCTCCATCCTTGACTTTGTTTTCTAATGATATGCCTTCATCCTATCATCTCGAACTTCAAAGTCCCCGTTAATTTGATTTAGCACCAACTGGGAGTCATAAAAAATATAAAGGTGTCTAACCCCGACTGAGTATGAAACCTCGATTCCAACCAACGACGCTTCCTACTCGACCTCATTATTAGATGCTTTGAATCCAAGTCTTATAGCTCGTTCCACTGTGAACCCTCCGAAATTGGCCAAGATTACACCTACTCCTGCCCCCTTTGCGTTTGAGGATTCATCTACATGCATACTCCAAACGTCCTTACTTTCGAAAGCCAGATTCCCCTCTGATGGAGACTCAGACGCATAGAATTTGACAATAAATTTTGAAACGATCTTTCCTTTGACGGAAGTGTGAGGTTTATAGCTTATCCCGAACTCTCCTAGCTCCATGGCCAATTTAGCAACTCGTTCAGACATGTCAGTTTTATGGAGTATGAGTTTAAGGGGCCTATTAGTCAAGAACTCAATAAGATGAGCATGGAAATAATGTCTGAGTTTCCTTGCCAAGACGACCAAGGCTAGGATAAGCTTCTCCTTCGGCAAATATCTAGTCTCAGGATTGAATAGAGTTTTGCTTATGTAGTAGACATACTTTTTTATCCCTTGGTGTTCCCTTACCAGGGCTCCACCTATCGTCTATTCCGAGACAGATAGGTAGAGATTTAGAACTTCGTCTTCGGTTGGAATGGATAAGGTCGGAGGGGACCTCAGATACTCCTTGATCCCCTCAAGTGCTCGGTCACATTATTCAGCCCAAAAACCTTTCGTCACCCTTTTAAGCTAGTGAAGAATGACTTACATCTGTCCGAGGACTTGGAGATAAACCAGTTGAGGGCTACTAACGTCCTTGTCAACTTTTGTATGTCCCTGATGGTCTTTGGCCTCTGGATATTTTTCACGACAAGTACCTGATCGAGGTTGACCTCTATGCCACAGTGGGTTACCAAGTATCACAGGAATTTGCTCGAGCTTACCCTAAAAGCACACTTTGACGCGTTAAGTTGCAGGTCATATGCTCGAAGCATGGTGAAAGTAGCACCGAGATCCCAAGATGGTCAATTTTCTCCTTGCTCTTTACTAGTATATCGTCAATGTACACTTTCATAGTAGTGACTAGTTGCTGCTTAAACATCTTATGCATCAAACACTAATAAGTGGCATCAGCGTTTTTCAATCCAAACGACATCACCATGTAACAATATATCCCTTGGGGTGTGATGAACGTCATTTTCTCTTGATCTAACTCGTGCAAAGGATTTTGATGGTACACTACTCAGGCGTTCATGAAGGAGATACGTTCATGACCCGCAGTTACTTCAACAAGCAAATCGATCTTCGATAGTGGATACTCGTCTTTAGGGCACGCCTTATTCAAGTCCGTAAAATCTACACAAACTCACCATTTTTCACCCTTCTTCTTTGCACACATTGTGTTTGACAACCATTTAGGGAACTAAACTTCCCTAATAGACTCAGCCCCGAGCAACTTGTCTACCTCTTCATCTATTGCCTGTGCATGGTGAGGTGACATTCTCTGAGCCTTCTGTTTCATGGGTTTGAAGGAAGGATCCATATGAAGTCGATGACTTATCACCTCAGGATTGATTTTTGTTATCGCAGCCTGGGTCTAGGCGAAGACATCTACATTTTGGCAAAGGAAGCTTATTATATTAGACTTTTCGATGCCGCTTAACGAAGTCCCTACTAAAAAGAACCTTTCTTCGTCCTCGGGATTCTGAAGGATCTTGACCAGAGCCTCTGTAGAATGATCAAATGGGTCAGTTATGGAGTTATCGACACCTTGCCGACTGAATTGTGATTGCTATTTAGCCAATACTGCCTCGGGGTCACGTTCCTGGGCTTTGGCGATAAGTCCAGTCTTCACTGCAACATAAAAATAACTTTTTGACGACACCTGATCGCTGCGAATCTCCATGATACCCCTCTGCGTGAAAACTTTATCTTCTGATAATAGGATGAATGCACCGCTTTCATTGCGTGCAACCATTGTAAAGAAAGTCAAATTCTAAATTTCAGAAGTTACTTTCTTAGAATAGTGAAAAATAAATTTTCACTTACCCAAGACTCACAATCGAAGTTGAAGAAGAACAAAGAAATTAAAATATAGCTCCAAAAATTGAGAGAAGGAAAAGACAAGAGAGAAAGTAGGAATAAACTGGTAATTGTTGTTGGTGATTTGTGTTTTTGTTGGCTTGGTGATTTGAGTTGGTGGAGGTCTATTTATAGGTGACTAGAGAAGGGTATAAAAGCTTAAGGTTGGCGGAGGTTTGAAAGGTTCACGAATTCTAACTTATTGGTGAACATTGGTAGAAAAGTGAAGGTTCTAGATGTTGGTAGAAGACTTAAAAATGATATCAAGTGCAAGTATATTCTACAAGGTTCTAGTTATTGAAATTCTCAAATACATTAATCTTCACTACATCCCTCAAAAACAAAAATATTTAAATAAATAATTGCCAAAAGTTTACTTTAAAATTTTAAAACTCCTCCTTAAAGTGAACTTTCGAAAATAAGTCCAAGCTCCGCACGAAGATTCTCGAATGGTCCCTTGGAGAGAGATTTTGTGAAAATATCTGTAATGTTGTCCTTGCTCCGCACCTCTGATACTTCAATTATTCTGTCAAGCACCTTCTCACGAATGAAATGATGCTCGATCTCAATATGCTTTGTTCTTGAGTGACACACCAGATTAGTAGCCAACTTTATAGCAAATTGATTGTTGCCAAGAAGTTTTGTAGGTTTATAAATAGGTGAAAACACATCTCCAACAAGCCGACGAAGCCAAGTGCATTCTTGAGTAGCAAGAGTGGAAGCCTTATACTCCGTTCCGGTAATAGAAAATGAGACTGAGTCTTGCCTTTTATTACACCAAGAGACACATGTCGAACCACATGAAAACACATTCCCAGAGGTAGATTTTCGATCATCCAAATCACCTTCTAGATTCACATCCGTGAACCCAAGTAGAGAAAATTCAACCCCTTTCTTATAAAAAAGTCCCATGTCATAAGTAGAATTTACATACTTCAATATCTGTTTTGCTGCGTCAAAGTGAGATTTCCATGATTCTTGCATATAGCGATTAACAAGCCCAACGGAAAAAGAAATATTTGGCCTTGTAATAGTCAAATAAATCAGACTACCAACAAGAGCACGATAAGGTCAGGGATCCGACAAAAGTTTACTTTCATCATGCCCAATTTTAAAGTTAGGCTCAAGAGGAGTGAAATAGTACTTGCTTTTATTTATTCCAAACCTGTTAACAAGCTTCTTAGTATAGCCTTCCTGAGATAGAAAAATCTCATCCTTCACCTTTTTCACTTCCAAGCCAAGAAAATGTCTTAACTCTCCCAAAACTTTCATCTCAAATCGAATAGAAAGTTCAGCCCGAAGCTTTGCAACCCCTCGTTCATAATTGCCGGTAATGATCATATCATCCACATATAGTAGAACAATCATGTGTAGTGATCCTTGCTTCTTTACAAATAAACTAGAATCTGAGTTAGAAGCAAAATAACCACAAAACTGTAAGTACTCGACAATCTTACCGTACCACGCCCTCAGAACTTGTTTAAGGGCATAGACGCCTTCTTGAGTTTGCACGCATAATCTAGTTGAGATGGAGAAACATATCCAAGGGGTTGCTCCATGTAGATTTCTTTATCAATTTCGCCATATAAGAAACCATTATTTACAGCATGCTAATATAGCTTCCAACTAAGAGATATCGGTAAAAAGATCACAGTCCGAACAGATGTTATCTTTGCTACCAGATTCAAAGTCTCTTCATAATCTTCTCCATATATTTGAGAGAAGCCTCTTGCAACAAATCTTACTTTGAATCTATCAATGCTTACATCTATAGTTTATTTATATTACCACTTTAAATATTGTTTTAAATTATAGTCTCAACACTTCAAACTTACGTAAACATTGTCAATTACTTCAAAAGTAGGGTACTTTCTATTTTTAAACTATTTGGCAGATAATTTCACTCAAACACTCAAATATTAATAAAATATATGTGTCGGCCACAGGCTGGCAACAAAAATAACTAAATTATTTCCGGTCATTATCAATTATAATCATAAAAAAGTTACATTTCGAGAAATAAATAAATAAATTAGTAAGTCTAGCCTAATTAGTGATTCTTGATTCTGTTGTTATATTCTACCAAACAGAAGGGTTGATTTCTTATGTTTTTTTATTGAAGTTTTATTATGGTATTTCTTAAGGTGTTTTAAACCAACTTATGCGTATCTCAATAAATTTTGTTCTCGGTCTAATCAAAGACATGATTATTAAGATCGAGACTAAAATATTTAAGGGAGATAATTTTTTCGGCTTAGCCGACAGATAAGGGTTGATTTCTTATGTCATTTTATTAGTGTTTTATTGTGCTAATTTTTTTCTCCGTCTGATGCTTTGGTATTGCTAACTTGAGGTAATCCTGTCTATTTAAGCTCCCACATCAAGCAACCAAGACCAGGAGTACTTACAGTCCATGCCTTCTTGAATCTCTTCAAAATAATATACCTTCTCTGTCTCTCTCTCTCCAAGATGGCTGACCGGAAACCAGAGAATAATGGGGTTTCCAGCCAATCATCGTTACCAATTCCCGCTTTTGACCCTCCGAAGAAACCTAAAAGAAACATGTTTGCCTTAGCTTGTTCCCTTTTAGCTTCCATGTCTTCTATCTTACTGGGCTATGGTTAGTTTTTTATTAAATTTTCCACACTTCCTGTTATGCTTCTTTTAATTTAACCCATACCCAGTTCCCTTTGTTTTATTTACTTCTACAGACAATGTTTCAACAGAATATAGTTTTCAGCCTTCCGCTCACAGACAAAAGTGGCTCCATGGCTGGTTTTTTTTTTTTTTTTTGTTGCAGATATTGGAGTGATGAGTGGAGCAGCAATTTACATCCAAGACGACTTCAAAATCTCCGACGTACAAGTTGAACTTCTCGTCGGAATCCTCAATGTCTACAGTCTCTTGGGCTCCGCTGCGGCTGGCCGGACTTCAGACTGGGTTGGCCGCCGGTACACCATAGTGCTCGCCGGTGCAATCTTCTTCGCCGGTGCACTTCTAATGGGTTTCGCCACAAACTACGCCTTCCTCATGGTTGGCCGGTTCGTTGCCGGCATCGGCGTTGGCTATGCACTTATGATTGCGCCGGTGTACACCGCGGAGGTCTCGCCGGCGTCGTCTCGTGGCTTTCTTACATCTTTTCCTGATTTCTTCATTAACTTCGGTAGGTGCGTTTTTTTTTTTTTGAAATACCGGGAACTTGATTCTTAATCTTAGGATAACAAAATTTTCATAAAATAAGAAGTACCATTAAATCAAATTCCTTAATCACTTCAGTACGTAAATAAAGACCGCATAACCTTCGTATTCTTCTCTCATCAATAATGATAACCTACATGATAAGCTAACGCTATTAAAATTTAGATATTTGAACTAATTTATTAATTTAATTTTATTATAATTTTTAAATTAATATCAAATTTTAATATTTAATGAAATCGATAATTAATCTAATGATTATAATAAATTAAATTTTAATAATATTACTCAACTATAGCTCAAGGCTCGCCTAGAAATATTCATCAATGTTAAAAAAAACAAACGGCTAACATGAAATGAACTTACTCTTTTCTTGTCGTGAATGATTGCTTTATTTCGCACAATAGTAATAATTTGCTCAATTATAAAAACTAATAAAACAGACTCAAAATTCATTGTCTCCTTTAATATAATAATACTTTTGAAAGTCATATCCAAGAAAAAAAAAAAGAATTTAGAAGGCAATTACTGACATGCTTGGCTTTAATTTTTTTGGATATTATTAGACTCATAAAAAAAATAAAATTAAAATAGGGACCAAGTGATTTGATGTAGGTATGATGGATTTTATTTAAAAATTGTGTTATTAATATATGATTGTATAATATTAGATTGACCAACAAATAGATTAAAAATAGAGATAAAAAAATACATGATAATATATTAATGATGATTTTGATTTTATATTTTACCAAAAATTCATATAAAAATTATATATATACACCATCTATACATAAGTCCATAACTCATTTAGATCTTATCACTCCAAATTGTGAAAGGCCTAATCCACTTATGAGAGTCTTCTAAGAGGGTTTTCTTAAAGAGTTTTCATAATCCACTTGGAAGGACATCTCAGGCCAAAAAGAGTCTTTTAAAACTACCTTAATTTAACTTTTTCTCTAATAAAAATGTGAGATTTGTGAAGTTTTCTTATTATATTATATTTTTTTTAATTTTATAATTCTTATAATCAATGGTCATAAATAAATCAAATCAAGATCTATAGTTTCTAACGATATGATATGAAGTTATTTTTACAAGTGTCACAGGCTTGTCCATGTAAATAACATAAATACATGCTTCTTTAACAGGTATATTACTTGGATACATATCCAACTATGCATTTTCCAAGCTCCCAAAGCATTTGGGTTGGCGATTCATGCTTGGAATCGGAGCAATTCCATCAGCATTCTTAGCCGTAGTAGTCTTAGCCATGCCCGAGTCGCCTCGGTGGCTGGTCATGCAGGGTCGACTCGGTGAAGCAAAACGAGTTTTGGATAAAACCTCAGACTCCAAAGAAGAGTCCCAATTAAGACTAGCTGACATCAAAGAAGCTGCAGGAATTCCTGAAAACTACAACGGCGACATCGTTTTGATAACAACAAAATGTAGTCACGGTGAGGGTGTATGGAGAGAGCTACTCCTTTATCCCACACCCGCGGTTCGTCACATTTTAATTGCAACCATTGGTATTCACTTCTTTCAACAAGCGAGTGGTATAGATGCGGTAGTTTTGTATAGTCCAAGAATTTTCGAAAAAGCGGGTATAACAAAGGACACTGATAAGTTGTTAGTTACAATTGCTGTTGGTACCACGAAGACAGTTTTCATCTTAGTGGCCACATTTTTACTAGACAAGATTGGACGGCGACCATTGCTGCTATCAAGTGTTGTGGGTATGATCGTGTCCCTGATGTTGCTTGGCGTTGGTTTGACGGTGATTGATCACTCTGATCATAAGCTTACGTGGGCCATAGCGTTGTCCCTGTCCATGGTATTATCGTACGTCGCGTTCTTTTCGATCGGGATGGGTCCCATCACTTGGGTCTACACCTCTGAGATATTTCCCCTGAAGCTAAGAGCACAAGGGTGTAGTATGGGGGTGGCAGTGAATAGGGCGACAAGTGGGCTCCTCTCAATGACCTTTATATCTTTATATAAGGCCATCACAATTGGTGGGGCTTTCTTTTTATACACAGGTATTGCAATGGTGGCATGGGTTTTCTTTTATACGTTACTCCCTGAAACACAGGGTAGAACCCTAGAGGAGATGGAGCAATTGTTTGGGACTTTCTTCAAGTGGAGGTCAACCATGAAGGAGGTGAAGAAGAAAGAAGCTGAGGCTAAGGGTCAGATTCAGATTCAGATGGGTAGTAGTGGCCAAAGTTAGAGAAAGAGTTTTTTTTTTTTTTGGGGGGGGGGGGGGTTGCAGATACGTTTGGTGTAATGAAGGCTGGCATGGGTATACCGTATGACTGCATGTGGGATTTTAAAACTGTTGTAGTACCCCTTGCATCAGTTTCTTACACAACGATACTCCAAATATATGCAGAATGAGACATAAAATATCAGTACAAGAAAGCAATGCTTCTGTTCTATTATTGAACAGCCCTTGGTACGTATCGTGGTCCAATGATAGGATACAAACACAGAAAGCAAGCAAACGCAAATGTCCGTCCAAAAGGCCAAAGGTCCTTTATTGCCGTTTCCCCATCATGCATACTGATAAGTTGCCAAAAGCAAAGGTCCAAAATTAAATGACTCGGATTCATATTGTATAATATTATCTCTTAACCACGAAGCATGATCTGTGAGCTCGTCACTCTAAGTCAATGTATATTGCTAAGCTTGTCCACCAATCTACCTAATTTTCAATTTCTCAGTTACGATTTTTGAGCTAGTTTAAAAAATGTGTCACTAATACATTAAGATTCATCACTTGACTCTTTGGTTATAAAGTTTTAGGGTTAATCGCACTGGAGATTCTCAAAGTATAAAATTTATCTCATATTGATTCCCAATATTTCAATTGCATTATTTTTATCCTAAAGTATTGTTCAACTTGAACCCAAAAATACAATGGTGACGATTGCAACAAGTCTAATTTGAAAGGAATTTGAACAAGGGCAATGCTATAGGAATTTAATTTGATAATCTAATCAATTTCCTAATTCAACATCGTCATTTCATTAGTCGTGAGTTCAAATATTAGACAAAAATCACTTTTTATAATCCAACAAAAATAATTGATTAATCTCAAGATTAGGCTTCTGAATTAAGTACAAATAGTATTTTCTTTGGACCGAATAAGCTACAGAGTGGAATTAATAGCTTGAATTCGAAAAGAACAAAAACAAGAATGGAAGAACGTAACAATAAGTGATGTGCATCAGTAAGTGAGCACTAGCTAAAGCAAGACATATTAACACTAATACAGTAGAAAGTGTAGTGGAACATTAGTGATGTATTTGTACTGTGGAAATCTAGCAATTGAATAATAGTTTAATGAATTGAAAACAAACATGTAATTTAAAACATGATAAAACAGAATATACAAATATACAATATAAGAGGAAAAAGAAAAAAGTTGGCGTGTGAGTCTGAAAGACGTGTGATCATTGTCTTAAAATAATTAAGTATTTCCTACATAAGGGACCGACGGATATTAGTGACTTCAAGATCTAACTCAGACGTTGACAACACCACCTTCCCGATAATCACATCTACTGAAAGATAGGGATGAACTTACCTCGAATTGAATTGTCCAAAATAACTTAAAAGAGTAGAAATTAGAAAACTATGAAAATTTATAAGGTTTTAACAGTGGGTGGTTAAGACTTGTCAGGTCTTTGATTGAAGAATAAAGAAAAAAGGATTGTGGTTGATGATGGGTGGACTAGAAGTGTAACAATATCTGTGGAGTTTGGGTGTGATAAGTAAGTTGGAGAGCTTTTTTTTTTAAGGGGGTGCAACACGAGGAGTAAGTTGGAGAGCTTAAAGCTTGATCATATGATTGTAAATATGATAATTAAACAAATGATCAATAAAGACGCTCAAATTATAGTGATCATCAACTACAAAGTTTAGCTCTCTGAAGATTTTTGTATAACTTCGGGAAGAAGATACCATACAATTTCTTTCATATCTTTGAAAACTATTTAGCGACGAAATGTGCCTTCGTCCCTAGAAGTATCTTGTAATTTTTGCAATAAAATGTGCATTCATCACTAAAAATATTTCATAGTTACAAATTTAATGTATTTGTCACGGAAAGCAACAGTATTAAAGATTGCATAGATAGTGGCGTATTAATTGGCTACTAAATCTCTATTGTAAGTGACAAATTTAAAGTTTGTTCCAAATAATAAACGTTAAGTGATGATAACGTTCGCCACTAAAACATGAAATATTTTGATTGATGATACTTTTTCATCACAATATGTATTCTTTTAGTGACTAATCTTTTAGGTGTTTTGCGACAATTTTATTTGTCACTAAAGGATTTTTTATTTTTTTTTTGTACAAAAGAATATTTTCACTAAAATTATGCAACTACTGATGAATATTCTAGATCGTGTAATTAACGACGAGATTAAGGGACCACCGAATGATAACTTTTCCTTCGTCACAAAAACTCATTAGTGACAAAAAAAAAAAGACTTTTAGGGATGAAAGTTTTTGTCACTAAAAAGCTCAATTGTTGTAGTAGTGGATTTGATTGATGCAGTTGAATATAATTGATTTTAGTAATACTAAACTTAATATAACATAACTTAAATTTTCAGTCAAGAACATTTGTAATGTCAGCTTAAAATCATCGATACGAAAGAATTAATAGAAGTGAGTTCATCGACATTGATGATCCCAAATTTAACTAGGCTTGGGCCCAATTCATGGGTTAAACCCAAATCATCAAAAAGTAAATCGGACTTAGCTCATGACCTCAGGCAAATTCAAAATTCAAAAATTCAGAGAAAGTCAATACAAGTTAGAGAGCGATCATTAGGATAATCATTACTTCAAAATATTGTCTATCCTCAATTGTAACTATCCTCTCTAATAAATTAACAACTTGACTTTCACGTCACCGCCTCAACTGGGGCTATGCGCCTATAAATTGTAAACCCCTCTACACATGGGAGAATATCTCACATACTTCACTTTGAGCATACTCTTCTTGTACTTTCTCATTAATAGAGTTCTCTGACCGCGATTGTCACCTTCAGTGGTTAGGACACTCAAACTCAACCAACCAAATTTTGTCTCTTATTATTAATTATTTTATTAATTACTTTACACTACATACTCGATTGATTTGATTGTCACCCTTATGTATCATCAGACATTATTGACATAGATAAATTGAATTGCTCAACTTCAACCTAAGAACTAAACAAATTATGATGGATCTGTAGATCCTATCATATTTGTAATACTTCTCCTCAAGTTAGTGCATTGAAAATATGAATTGAATTTTTCAAACTTGAACCAAAGAATACAATGGTGATGATTGAAACAAATCAAACTTGGAAGGAATTAGAATAAGGGCAATGCCATAGAAATTTAATTTGAGAATCTAATCAATGACCTAATTCAACGTCGCCATTTTATTAGTTATGAGTTTCAATATTAGACGAAACTCACGTTTTATAATCCAACATAAATAATTGATTAAAGACTATTTAGTTTATTTGAATATAGTAGATATACAAAAAAAGTATGAAAATCTAAGGGAATATATTAAGTTTTTTTCAACCTAAAAAGGTAAAAATATTTTTGAAAATTCTTTTTTTTTTGGGAGGGGGGGTTTCCGTCCCTCGTTCTAACACTCAAATAAGAAAATATATATATATATATATATATATATATATATATATATATATATATATGTGTGTGTGTGTGTGTGTGTGTGTGTGTGTCTCTATTGTTAGCTGACATAAAAAATAAACTAGATTTTTTATCGTTTTTAAATATTATCATTAAAAAATTATATTTCAAAAAAAATATTTCAGGTTTTTTTAACGCTTAGAGTTAAAGTCACGATTTTCCAATAGTCTGGGAGCTATTAGGCTGACATAAACTCAATAGTGATAATTTGGTGTCTCGTGGGTCACAAGTCACTATACTTTTACTTTTGAATGGTGAAACATTGACCATTGAAACCTCCCAAGAGTAGGCAAGATGCGAGCAGAGATGCACAAATGATACAGACCAAGACGCAAGCTCGACCAAAATTGAAGAGTTTGGTTCAAAGGAAGTTGTTGGAATTTGACTCAAACTTCCTAGTTATCATGAATGAGAGTTTGTTGGATAATCAACGTAAGAATCCTATATGAAATAGGATTATATTGGAAGAGTTTTAATATACCATAAATAGTTATGTTAGACATGTGATAAGAAAAATAAAGATAAATTAGTATCTAAATAGGTTTGGGTCACAATATTTTATCCCTATAAAGAGAGTTGAGTATTATATAATCAATTATCAAATAACCAGATTCAGTGAATAATATATCGATGTAGATTTTTGGTCTATGAATGTAGGTACGACCTACTGAGTAGGTAAGTATGCTGTATCGAGCCACATTATATCTCTGTCTCATGTTTTTATTGTTTTCCTATTTTTGAATTCCTATTTTTGAATAAGTATTATTTGTGTTAATTATTCGCTGCATAAAACGAACAAGTAATATTAGAATTATGTTCCAGCAAACTATGTTCCAACATTATCTGTCATATGATATATCACAGTTCCTGTATGCTTCTTTTAATTTAATCCACTACACTTTGATACTAACCCGCAAGCATCCTACACAAGGACACAGGACAAATTTTCCATGAAGATGTTTCAGAAGGAATAATTTCTTGGAAAAGTCTCAGAAATCTTGCTAAGTGGCTTCATGGGTGGTTTTTGTTTTTGTTTTTGTTGTTGCAGATATTGGAGTGATGAGTGGAGCAGCAAACTACATCCAAGACGACTTCAAAATCTCCGACGTACAAGTTGAAATTCTCATCGGAATCCTCAATCTCTACTCTCTCTTGGGCTCCGCTGCGGCTGGCAAGAACTCAGACTGGGTTGGCCGCCGGTACACCATAGTCATCGCCTGTGCAATTTTCTTTGCCGGGGGACTTCTGATGGGTTTCGCCACCAACTACGCCTTCCTCATGGTTGGCAGGTTCGTCGCCGGCATCGGCGTTGGCTATGCACTTATGATTGCACCGGTGTACACAGCGGAGGTTGCGCCGGCGTCGTGTCATGGCTTTCTTACATCTTTCCCTGCAGTCTTCATTAACTTCGGTACGTAAAGACCGAGAGAATATTAGGTGCAATTGGACAAATGAATTTCAAATTCTCACCGGCTAATATATGTTTGGATTAATTATATTCGAGTTTCTCAAAGTATACATTTTATCTTATTTTTATCACTAATATTTTAATTACATAATTTTCGTCTCTGAAATATTAAATATATTTTTATGTACTCTTTCAACAAAATAAGATGTTAATATTTCAGAGATGAAAATTATCGTGTGATACCTAATTATTGGTAAAAAAATTATTTGGGTAGTTTTTTACCAAATATCTATGTGACAATATTTAAATATTACATGACAAGTTTATAACCAAAAATCGTTAGTAATCTATTCGTTGTTTGCTTGAGAGATCACATAAAAATATATTCAATACTTCAAAGACTAAAATAATACAATTGAAATATTGGAGATCAAAATAAAATAAACTCCATATTTTGAGAACCTCTAATACAATTAATCCTATATTTTTTTAGTCGATATGTTATTATTAATAAGTAAAACCCCCACTTGTACATAACGAATTATAATTAAATTCACAAAAAATTTATTAGTGTGAATCGAGAGAGTTTTCCAACACTAGCTCTATTTTTTGTTCAATAAAAAACTTGATATTTTAAAAGCTTTTGTTTATTGTATTATTTTGTTATTTTTATAATTAATAGTAAAATATGAATTAAATTAAAATTTATGATTCCCAACAATAATGATACCATATTTTATAGAAGTATCACAGCCTTATTCTCGTAAATAACATGTATTCATGCTACTTTTTCAGATGTATTACTTGGATTTGTGTCCAACTATGCATTTTCCAAGCTACCAAAACATTTAGGTTGGCGATTGATGGTTGGAATCGGGGCAATTCCATCAGTATTCTTAGCCGTAGTAGTCTTAACTATGCCCGAGTCACCTCGGTGGCTGGTTTTGCAGGGTCGACTCGGTGATGCAAAACTGAGTTTTGGATAAAACCTCAGATTCCAAAGAAGAGGCCCAATTAGGACTAGCCGATATCAAACAAGCAATAGGAATTCGTGAAATATGTAACGACGATGTCGTTTTGGTAACAACAAAAAGTAACTGGGGCCAAGGTGTATGGAGAGAGCTACTTTTTAATCCTACACCCGCAGTTCTTCACATTTTCACCGCAGACACTTCTTTCAACAATCGAGCGGTATAGACGCTGTTATTTTGTATAGCCCGAGAATTTATCAAAAAACGGGTATAACAAACGACTCTCATAAGTTATTGGCATTAATCGCCGTTGGTGCCACAAAGACAGTTTTCATCTTAGTGGCCACATTTTTACTAGACAAGATCGGACGGCGACCGTTGCTTCTATCAAGTGTTGCGGGTATGATCTTTTCCCTGATGTTGCTTGGCGTTAGTTTGACGGTGATTAATCACTCCGATCATAAGCTTACGTGGGCCATAGCGTTGTCTTTGTCCATGGTATTATCATACGTCGCGTTCTTCTCGATCGGGACGGGTCCCATCGCTTGGGTATACAGCTCTGATATATTTCCGCCGAAGCTAAGAGCACAAGGGTGTAGTATGGGGGTAGCGGTGAATAGGGTGACAAGTGGGGTCCTCTCAATGACCTTTATATCTTTATATAAGGCCATCACAATTGGTGGGGCCTTCTTTTATTCACGGGTTGCAATTGTGGCATGGGTGTTCGTTTATATGTTGCTCCCTGAAACACAGGGTAGATCCCTCGAGGAGATGGAGGTTTTGTTTGGGACTTTCTTCAAGTGGAGGGCAACAATGATGGAGGTGAAGAAAAACGAAGCTGAGGCTAAGTGTGAGATTCAGAAGGGGAGTCATGGCTAAAGTTTGAGAATAAAAATGGGGGTTTGGTTTGGTTTGTTTTGTGTGTGTGTGGATGGGTATTGGTGGGGGGATGAAAGTCTTTGGAGTGACAGAGTGGTATGGAAAATCATATATGTATTGAAATAAAAAATGAGTTACGTCCAAAATGAGGAAAAAGAAATGGGATTGGGTTTGGTATATTAGTATCCCCTGCATGACTTTATATGTCGGTTGTGACCAGCGTTCACACTACTAGCTAGCCTCCAACGTAAACGTCGAAATTTCATGTGCTTGCCGGCGTTTTTCACAAATGTCAAGAATAAAATGCCGGTGAAGCCGTGTATGGACATTGTTCCTTTTATTTCTCATTGAAATAAAATAATTATAGTTTCTAAACGTGCTTCTTGTTAAACAAGGTATATCATGATTCAAAAATTCCATTTTGTTCATTGTTTTTTCTCTAAACAAAGATGTACACACATATTTTGGAATTTGATCTAAATTTTTTAATTGTTACGAAGCAAAATTTGTTGGGTAATCAATGTGAGAATCCTGAATGTAATATAAAATATGTTGAAAGAGTCTTAATAAACCTAGTTTGTTAGGGACCTAATGAAATAGGAAACAAATTGGAAGAATTTTAATATATTTATGTATATTAGACATGTGATAAAAAATATAAAGATCAAATTATATTTGGGTTATAATATTTTGTTCCTATAAATACGATTGAATATTATGTAATTAGTTAGCAGATGATCAATTTTTTCAATAAATTATACATCGATATAAACTCTTAGTTTGGTTCGTGGATATAGGTACGGTGTACTAAAATTGATATGTTGTATCGATTCACATTATATTTTTGTATTATTTTGTTTTATTATTTTTCTATTTTTAAAATTTTATTTTCTAACAAATATTATTTATATTAATTATTTACTGTGCAAAAGCAACAACACACATGTGCTACATTACACAAGGTGAACATCTACTGATGTAATGTTGATGCACACATCCACTCAAGAACCACTAAACTACCATTGTTGTCGACACCAATTCTATTTCAATTAAACGACAAATCCATTACACAAATTACTTCAATTTACCATTACTGCACATTAAGAGAGAGAGTACGAGGTTTGTAGGTGGTATGATGTGGCTTGTGGACTTTAAGGTGAAGTAATTATTGAATACAACGGTGATATCATGTCATCAATGATAACATGATCTTTTAATCTAAGCTTCTATGAAAATCTAATGTTTAACAATCTAGCATAGTATTTATCATCTTCAATGAATGCCTAGTAGAATATCCATGGGTTATTAATTGATTAAGCCGGCCATTAGAAAGGTAAATAATTCATTTCCATTAGGATTTGTTTAAAGTTTTATAAATAATATCATAGCATTGTAACATAATTAACCCTTGAAATTTCCCTAATGTTATTCTACATTGGTTTTTTTTTTGTTTTTTGTGATGTATATATAACGTTCAAGTTACTCTATCATTATACTTTCTTAGATTTAATTTGACTATTGACCGAATGGTGTCAAATCCTCGTTAGGACAAAGATAAAAAAAGATTCATTTTTTTGAACAAAAAAACAATCTCCAATTATTTTGGCTGTTGGGTAGTAATCAACCATGCTTATGCCTCCACGTGGCTCAAACGTATCACATTCCACGGAGGGGACTTGTAACAATCATGCCAATCAAGTAGACATTTTTTTTTTTGTTTCTCCCCAAGGTAAAAAATTTTATCAATCATACATGTCTTGCACTCGTCATTATAACGCAAATTATAAATGTGTAATTATTTGTAAATAAAATTTAAATTTTTGAAAAAATTTAAATTCTAAATATACAAGTTTATGCCACGTATTTTATTGACTAATACAATCTGTGGTGTAAATTTTTTCGCATATTAATTGTAATGAAACCAATGCTTTTGTTTAAGGATAATATTATAATTATTAAATTTTTTTATTAAATTTTCATTCTAAATGATGTGACATTATTTTTTATCGTAAAATAAGTGAATCTCATTAATGTTCAACAACAACGATTCTACTACATTTGAGTTAAAAGATTAATAAGCATAGCATTTTAATATGTTCTATTATTGAACAGCTTTTGGCACGTCTCGTGGTCCAATGATAGGAAACAAACACAGAAATCAAGCAAATGCAAGTGTCCGTCCAAAAGGCCATAGCAATCAAAACACTTTTTTTTTAGGGCGGTTCGGTGTGTATTTGTGGAATTTCTCATCTTAAATCGAAAGTTTGAGTTTTGAAATCTATATTGAGTTCGGTGATTGATCGTAATATTAACTTAATTAAGTTCGTTCTCAAAAAGAATAACGGATATAGTCAGAGATCTCATGATCTCACAACTGAGGGTCTATTGGAATGGTTTATGGACGCTCTCCTTTGCTAACCCCTTTTTCAACTATCAAAAAAAATCAAACACTTTTTTTTTGTTCAACGCTCAAGGATATTTGTGTCAATTTATATACACCTCGACTAATTTCTTTTCTGGTCTGTTCAAAAGCAAGTCATTCACCTCAAGAGTAGAATATTCACGAGAAATAAAATCTTTAATGGTCTGACCTCAAAAAATTGTCAAAATTCAAATTCATGATATCTGAATTTACAATTCGCATCGAAGCAAACCAAATACTATGCATACAGATAAGTAGTCAAAAGGAAAGGTTCAAAATCAAGGTTCAAAAAATTAAACGACTTAGATTAATTTTGTATAACATTACCCGTTTTAGTTTACAACGGCACAACTTTAAAATGTGTTATACAATACAGCTAAGATGCCCAAACTCATCAATAATTTATGCCCATTTCACCAAACTGACGTGGGAGTGGGATTATTATTTTGTTAAAGTAAATTATTATCAAATCAAAAGGCACACAATTTGATTTTAAATCATTGTAATTTTAGTACGATATAATTGGACACCTTAAAAAAATTATAATTTAATTTTAAATCATTGTAATTTCAGTACGATACCCCTCTACCGTAATCTTCCTCTATATGTCTATATGTTTAGTCCAATGTCATTGCAGGGTATTTATGAGATTGTCGTGTTAAGACGTAGGACTTGTGTCCTTTATGGGTGGACAGTGTAGCAAAATGAGATTCAGGCTGCGAGTCAAACATGACAGCAGTTTTAAATTTAAAAGGTACAAGAATCAAATTTGTAAGGTATAATTACGTAAATCTTGTAGTCTACGAGAAGCTGGATAAGACTTGTTGACCTCATGGTTTGATTGACGATTAGGTATGTCTAACTGAGCTACTTATCCAGTCTATTTAAGCACAACAGAAGCCGATGGTCATGCCTACTTGAACCTCCTCCATAAGATACCACACTCTCTCTCTCTCTCTCAAATGGATGACCGGAAACCGGAGAACAACGGTGTTTCCGGCCAATCCCAGCTACCTATTCCAGCTTTTGATCCTCCTGAGAAACCAAAGAGAAACAAATTTGCTATACTTTGTGCTGTTTTAGCATCCGCCACAACTATATTACTGGGCTATGGTTAGTTTTACTTCTACATGCTTCTTTCTAGTTACGTTATATAGTTGTTTTAGTTTCCTTGAGACTATGTATAGCACCTATAATAATTCTCGTATAGTGCACAGTATTTAGTCAAATACGAAAGTTAATGATTAACATGACAATAATTTCCAGTATTTAGTCAAATACGAAAGTTAATGATTAACATGACAATAATTTCTTTTTATGCAGAATAAAACTATGTATATATACATAACCAACCCTGTTAATTTAATGAAAAATGCTATTTGAACCTAAAAATTTGACATGATTTATTGACCTGATGACATGATTTCATTAGAATTAGTGGATAAACACCAAGTTCCAATGTTTGATGGATCCCACAGTTAATCTGAAAGTCATAGTAAATTATGTCAGCAAATTAAATCCCAATAGTATTGCTCTAATTCAATATAACTTCTCCTAGTATAAGTTTCATCTTGTTGGTGAGATGAATAAAAATATATTTGAAAGACTGCTCAACTAAACTAGTATGAAAAAATTGACTGAAACCCTAAATTAGACCAATTGACACAAATCCCTCACCATGTATTTGAAGTGAGATTCATTATTTCTATATGGACCCCTCATTGAGTGAAGTTGAGTGCAAGTAAAATAGAGATGATTTAGATCAAAATATGACATAAGTGATATACAGTATAGTTTGTGGAGACTATTTAAGGCAAATTAATGAGTTGTTAAAGACTTAATTAAATTATTTCACCCAAATTAGAAGGTGTACCCAAAGTCAAGATATTTGCCAACCTTTTAATAACTTCTACTTACCAACTATACATGGATGTTTGGATTGGTAGGTTCTACTAATCATCAATACCATTGGAGTTTTGGAGCTTGGATTACCCTTATAATATTGAATTATTGGATCATGTTTCAGATGGAAAATATTTTCCAGGAGACCAAACATATATCCTACGCTAAATGATTCTCGAAATTTTTCCTTGAAAAAAATTTTGAAGAAACATTTTCTTGGAAAAGTCGTGGAAAGTTTGCTAAGGAGATATTCTACAAATTTTTATATGTTTGGTTAGCTTATTTCTTACAAAAAAACACTCCAGAAAAAATTTAAAAAAAATTGTGATATACAGTTTGAGTTTCCATTTTGTCCCTTTTTTCCTCTAGAATATTGAAAAGGTTTGGTAAGGGCAATTTGGGCATGTTACAGAATTTTTCTATAATTTCTTATCATTTTCACTTCTTATCGTCTTTTCTATCTAACCAAACAAATCCTAAATGGCTTCACGGTGATCTCACGCAGATGTTGGAGTGATGACTGGAGCAGTAATATACATCAAAGAAGACCTAAAAATCTCCGACGTCCAAATTGAAATTCTAGTGGGTATCCTTGGCATCTACTCTCTCTTCGGCTCGGCGGCTGCCGGCCGAACCTCAGACTGGATTGGCCGCCGGTACACCATAGTATTTTCTGCCGGAATCTTCTTTGCCGGTGCAATTCTAATGGGTTTCGCCACGAACTATGCATTCCTCATGGTTGGCCGCTTCGTCGCAGGCATTGGAGTTGGCTACGCACTCATGATTGCGCCGGTGTACACCGCCGAGGTCTCGCCGGCGTCGTCTCGTGGCTTCCTAACATCTTTCCCTGAAGTCTTCATTAATATGGGTACGTAAAATCTCATAATTTTTGTCTATACATGGACTTAAAATATAAATTTTATTAGTTATTATCATTGATTTTATTATTAATTCTCGTATTTATTAACATTTACTACCTATTCAATAATTATGATCAATCAAATCTAATTTTAACTCCAAATAATATTTTTCATTTTTGCACCACCACCATCACAACTATCCTATAACCATTACCATAATCGTCTTTTTGCCATCACCATCATGATCGTCACCATCCTATTCCACTATACATCCTACCCCCAGACAATACTGTCCCATCCCACGACCATTGCTATCGTTTTTATCCTCAACTATCACCTTATCTCAATTGGTGCCACTACCACTACCACTACCAACCTACCACCATCACCCCATGACCACTATCACCACCATCTCATTCCCGTCACCCTGTCATAACTTTTGTCACCACAAACAACTATTGTCATTGTTGTTGTCACCATCATCACCTCCTATAAACACTACTACCCTATCCCCCTCCACCACCATCAGTTTGGCTCTATTATCCCACCACAACCACTATGTTGGTGGCAATGACGATGTGGGCGTAGTGGCAATTGTAGGATGATAGAGATAGTTAGGAATGGAGCCAAAAAATTGTGTTATAGTGGGCACGAATATGTTAACAAATTAAAAAAAAAATTCTTCTAATTGATAAAAATCTATATAATAAAATACAATATAATTCAAATCTTAAAAAATAAATTAAATAATTTTTTATTTTCGCGGTTAAGATATTTTTAAATTTTATTTTAAAATTAATCCGACGACTAATATTGACATTCCAAATTTAATAGAGAAAATAGACTCTTAAAGGTGTGTTTGCAGTAATTTTTTAAAAATACTTCGAAAACTTGTAACTTCTCATAAGTACTTTAAAAAAAATAGTGTTTGGAATTGTCTCACCACTGCCACCCACAACACCATCATAAACTAGTCATCGTAATCTATCACAACCATCACCGTTTTCAACCATCACCACTGTCGCCCACCACCACTACCACCATTCGTCCCTACTACAATCGGTATTTAAATTTATTTCTTTCTTCTCTATCTTTGTAATTTGATTTTTGATGTGAATACAAATATGCTTATTGTTGATCATTTTTTTATTACTTCATACCTTCAGGTACAAAAAATAACTAATAGGTAATAATTTATATTTAATTATATATTATTTAATACTTAACAAGTTATTAAAGCCAATAGACCAAAAATTGATAAGCCTAATATATACAAATGACAAAAATAAAAAAAAGACTAATTATATTCTTTTACAAAATATAGGCTAATTAAAATCATTTAGAATTGATTCCGGTGAATTTTTATCGTTGGAAACCAGTGTATAACAATTTTTTTATTTTTTATATATGCAATCATGTTATCACTTCGGTATTTATTACTCATTCAATTATACAGTTCAATACGCAAATATCTACCGCAATTAACAAAATAAATGTCAAAATCGCATGTCCAAAATGTGTCAAAAAAATGTTAATATATGTATATCATGTCTTTTTTAGTCAAAGTATAAAATAATTCTAATATAATTAAAATTTATTTAGATAGGAACATAACATGTCCAAAATGTGTCAAAAAAATCATATTCATTCAATACAAGTGTGTACACTAATTGATGTGCTAAAAAAATAAAGTGAGCATAATTAAAAATATTAAAGAAATACTTAAAATACATACAAGTAATATTAAGAAAAAAAAATTTAAGATGGACATACGCTGGCTCCACCCATGGAGGTAGTGGTAGTATTGGTGGTGATTGAGGTTTTCCGCAAGGTTTTGAGAGTGTTTTATATATATGTGTGTGTGTGTGTGTGAAAGTGCACGTATATTTTATCACAAATTCTTTTGGTGAGCTCAGCTTATTGACATGTACATAACATCTTTGATTAATTAACAGGTATATTGCTTGGATATGTATCCAGCTATGTATTTTCCAAGCTTCCAAGACACTTGGGTTGGCGATTCATGTTAGGAATCGGAGCAATTCCATCAATATTCTTAGCCTTAATTGTCTTAGCCATGCCCGAGTCACCTCGTTGGCTAGTCATGCAGGGTCGACTCGGTGAAGCAAAGCAAGTTTTGGACAAAACCTCAGACTCCAAAGAAGAGGCCCAACTAAGACTAGCTGATATCAAAGAAGCCGCAGGTATAATAATGTCAACCGAGTTGTGTTGTTTTGTGTCGTATCATTTTGATTTGTATTTTGTCCAATTTCTATAATGCATGCATCATCAATATTTATGTTAATCAAAAACCTATTTAATTTTAAAACACTCCAAAAATCAAATGAACAAATAAATACAACGTATAAAAATAAACCTCTTGTTTTTTTATAATTAAAATTGTAACGGGTCATTCGTATTTGATAATAACCCATTTCATATAGGGTTGAGTTGTTTTCGGATTCTCCATGCTTATTGATAAAATTTATAATCTTTAACAGGTATCCCAGAAAACTGTGAAGACGATATCGTTCAAGTCCCACAACGTAGCCATGGTGAGGGTGTATGGAAAGAACTGCTCCTTTATCCAACACCCTCAGTTCGCCACGTTTTAATCGCAGCCACTGGTATTCAATTCTTCCAACAATCGAGCGGTATAGCTGCAGTCGTTTTGTATAGTCCGAGAATTTTTGAAAAAGCGGGTATAACTAAAAACACTGATAAGTTATTAGCCACAATCGCGGTTGGTACCACAAAGACACTTTTCATCTTAGTGGCCACATTTTTACTAGACAAGATCGGACGGCGACCATTGCTTCTATCAAGTGTTGCGGGTATGATCGTGTCCCTTGTGGGCCTAGGCACTGGATTGACGGTCATTGATCATCACTCTGATCATAAGCTTACGTGGGCCATCGCATTGTGCATATTCACTATATTATCATTTGTTTCTTTCTTCTCCATTGGATTGGGTCCCATTGCGTGGGTCTACAGCTCTGAGATCTTTCCTCTGAGGCTACGCGCTCAAGGGTCGAGTTTAGCGGTGGCGGTGAACACAGTCACAAGTGGGGTCCTCTCGATGACCTTTATTTCTTTATATAAGACCATCACAATCGGTGGGACCTGCTTTTTATTTGCGGGGATTGCATCAGTGGCTTGGGTGTTCTTTTATACGCTGCTCCCTGAAACACAGGGTAGAACACTTGAGGAGATGAATAAAATATTTGGCTCTTTCTTCAAATGGAGGGCCACAATGATAGAGTTGAAGAAAAATGAAGCTCAACGTAATGGAGAGATAACACTTAGTGGGGGAGCAGTGAACTAAGATAGGTAGATATCTAGGGTAGGATGGTAGATATGTGTGCTCCACTAGGGGCTCATTTGTCATTATGATATTGATGGACTTCACTAGGTTTGATAGTCTTATGCTCGAAATCAAAAGTCACTCTCAACCGTCAAAAGAATCATGCTCTGTGGAAAAATATCCAATTATTTTGGGAGGTGTTTGGTAGCCGTATATGTTCAACCCATCATATCTACACTCTAACTAGTGTTGTATTTGCTGAGAAAATTCTCTATATCTAATTTTTCACAAATCGTAAGAGTTGTATATCTAATTTTTCTCAAATTTTATAATAATACATAAAGCAATGTTATTTGAACAAAAAAAATTGATAATATTTGTTAACTCATAATATAATTTTCATTGGTTTAACTATGAGTCTCAATATTTAATGGACCCACTACTTTTTTTTTTTTTAAAAAAAAAAAAAATCAAACATGGAAAAACTCTACATTCCAGAGTTTGTACAAAGCAATCTACAAGCAAAACAAATTACCAAACCACTATCTTTCTTCTCAACGCCTTAATTCTTTGTTGATCATACTGCAACAAGAGCTTAGCTGAGAGAGGAAGCCTCACAGAATGCGAAAAATCAGAAGAAGCCCCATCCTTAACAACCTGATTAGCAAAAAAAATCAGCAAAGGAATTGGCCTCCATAAACACATGAGACAGCCTGCAGTTCAGTCTGCTCAACACTCCCAGAATCTGCCTCAACACCTTCCATTATTTCCAAGCCCTGTAATGACCTTGCAACATATTTATCATTACTTCAGAATCTGCTTCAATCTAAAACTTATATGCAATCAAACCATACTTTTCTATCAAAAGCAATTAAACCATCCGACATCGCTCTCAACTCTGCATCCATAATTGAACACTCTCCATTGAAAAAGGCAGCAGCAAGGACTAATTGTCTCCACTGATTGATAGGCAGCAGCACTACCTATTCAATGGTTATAATGAAAAAGAAAATAATCAATGGAACAACGAATTACCAACCAAGAATAAAATTTCAAATGGAGAAAATGAACCCTATTTGAATAGTATTGACTTACATAGAAGAAGAGTCGGTAGTTATCTGTTTACATGAATGATTAGTTATTGGCTTGTGTGAGATCCACTTCCTTATTTGTCGTTATATTATGGCTTGGCGATACCAAGTGACAATGCTAATGTAGCATTACCGTTGCAATGAATATTTTCTTGTAATGGAGAGAGTTAGCAAAATATGTCAATATTTTTTGTCCAAATAGCGTTTCTCTAACAAAAATCATATATATTATGCTGCACTATTTTTAAGGGTAAGATCTTGGGTATCTACCAAATTATTGCAAAAGAAGGAGTGAAGTAACAACTTAATCTAGTGAAATTTATACCAGAATAAGGTGTTCTGGAATTGATTCTAAATATTTTTAGGATCGAAGATACTATTTTAGAATCAACAAAAAAAAGTAATAATTTTGTCTTAACTTGACCCCAGTAGTAATTTGACTCAAAAAAATTGCATTTAATGCAAAAAGTTTGTAATGTTTGATATAATACTTTACTTCAGCAATGTCTTTGATTTTTTCCTGTTGAATTGTCATTGGTGGTTGTCACACATATGCTCCATATTCAACGGTGAGACTGATGAGTCATTGAATGAGAACCTCATAATATAATACCAATGGACCTAACTAAGTTTCAAAGACATGTACTAATGGACATTTGATCTAATGGTATTGTGCACGATAATTTTTGTATAATATAGATAAACGACAGATCTCTCTCGCGGTAAACTCGTATTCGTTGAGAAAGTCAGTGATCCCAAGACAAAGGAAGAGGATATATAACTAGAGGGGCTCAATGAATAGTGATGAATTATCTCAAGGACTGTTTGATCGGTTCCGATGGGCTGCAGGGGTTCCCTGGAACACATAAAATAAATTAGAAGGGCGCTAGAATGTTTTTCGGCGTATCCCCTCCGACGATCAAGTCAATTTTTTGAGAGAGAAATAGGTGGGAGAAGAAGAAAACATTGTATGACTCTTGAGGAGTAATTTTGCGTACCTTTGCAATGTGTTTTTGAAGACTATTTATACTTTTAAAGACTTTTCATTGCTGGTAATCTAGGTAGTAGGTAGTCTTCAAAGATGGGGCAATGTGCCTTCTATTTTGTGTGAGGAATGTCCCAGTATTAATTGATCCGGCTCCCGAGCAATTAATGCTCTTTCTTTGATGTAAAAACTTTAAATGCAAGAGCCCAGAGCATTTAATATCCCCTATCCTCGGCTTCTCAAGCCACTGTGGATGTCACATTATTTGGAGATTCAATAAACACTTGCCCAGAATAGCTGCATATCATCAGAGGTACATCTGTCTTTTTACCCTTCATCCTGTATTTTATGTCACACGTCTGATTCCCTCTGATTAAATGTCCACTTCATTCTGTCATTCTGACTCCATTGAGCAGAGTGTCATCATAGTTCATAATCTAACTTAGGTTTTTCAGTTGTCAGTTATTAGCCTCCCTAGAAGCCGAAGACTGGTATTTGAGGGATCAAAGTGTGAGTATCCTCGGGATCGAGGACATTTGGCTCGCCCCCGGTGTGGGGGGTACCTCGAAGCCGAAGAAACATACTAGTCAGAACAGGGGGTCTTGGGGCCGAGGACACGTGGCCTCAGCAAAGGCAAGAAAAGTCCCTCGACGCCGAGGACACGTGTCGTTGATCTAACACTCTTCTAGAAGTATCTCATTAGGTATTTCTTATTTTGTGAAAGTTTTGTCTTCTTGAAGTTAGGAGTTCAAGTTCCCCTTCCCAAAAAATTAAAAAAAAACTTTCAAAAACATGTGCTGTGGGACGATAAAAAACATGGAATTTCTTTGTTAGGACATGAACATGTTAGGCTTGCTAATCTCCGATGCTAATACGACACATTGCTTAGGAAAGAGAAGCAATGTCTCCTTGCTTTTGTTGTGAGACAGAAGGAATCACAAAACTAGACAACGTCTTATGTTCCTCTATACTTTTCCACAGTAATCTAGCAATGTTTCAAGTCTTCATTTTGCTAACTTGCATAAGTGAAGGACCACAATGAGAGAGTTGAATTAAAATGAAGCTCAAAGTCATGGGGAGATAACACTTAGTGCGGGAGTAGTGAACTAAGATAGGTACATATATCTATGGTAGGGTGGTAGATATGTGTGCTCTAATGGGGGCACTTTTGTCATTTTTCATAGATTTTTTTTTTTCCATGACAAGATATCTCTTTAACGCGTGGCCACATTATACCCACCTTTCCGGTATATATGTGAGATTCGAAACTAATGGTTTGAGTTGAAAGGAAAAGTATTCAATGGGAGGGAGAAGATGAAGAGGTTTATATATGTAATGAAATCGGAAATTAATGACTTATATAGAAAATAAAGAAAAAGAAAAGTGATTTCATTTGCATTATTTTCTGAAGTATTTAAATTACATAAGGCATCTACATGGTTTTTAAAAATTATACAAAATCCCTCGTATTATATTCTTCTTTGTACCCCAAAGTTCTTTTTTTTTTTCAATTATGTTTGTCGGCGTGAATGTGTGAGTGGTAGTAGTGGGTGGTGAAACTGGGGGTTGAATACATAGTTTTTGCCGATGATGCTGGTGGTGCAGATTAATTTATTCATATAGTTGAAGGCAGACTGGTTGAGAAAGGGTGAATAGGAAATTTGAAAAGGAAAAAATGGTTTTCATATGTCAATAGATTCCATGAGGTTGTTCTTACCATTGACTAATGGAAGGATGCCCCATGAAATACAAATCTGAATCGAAAGGATGCAACATAACATAACTTATCTTTTTCTATTCTATGGGGAAGAGAATGAGGTATCGGATGAGTAATGCTATTATGACCTAAAAATTTGATATAATCTGTTAACTTAATGATGTAATTTTATTGTAATCATTAGATTAACATTAAGTTTCAATGTTTAATAGAGTTCACAGTCAATTCAATAAATATAGTGAATTAGATCAATAAATTAAATCTCAATAACATTGTTAGGTACCAAACTCATAACTCCCCACTCTCCCCCACCACCCATACACACACACCCCTACACTTTTGAGGGCTACAAGGGGAGCATGTGAGGAAGTGGGTGGTATCTTGCAAGCACTTGCTTCAATATTTAGATCGGGGAAATTGCATATAAACCACCAAAATATTGAATATAATAGTGATATTATGTTATTATTGATACGTAGTGTCACAATTTAATAATAAACCTATACACGAATAAAGTGTAAATGACATGGCAGAATGAACTCTTTCTATAATATGTGAAATTCACCTACTTATTTTTTATGTTTTTATTGAATGATGATACCACGTGACAATTATAATGTGGTACTACCGTTAGCCCTAATATTTTTTTCACATGGGTGTGGTAGGTCGTATAAATTACAAAGGTGCCCTTGTAATATCAATAAACTCTAAACGATACACAAGTATGATATGGATGTAGTTAACCAGGTTTGACTGTCTTATCCTATAAATGAGATATACACTCAGCAGTCAAAAGATTCCTGCCCTGTTGAAAAATATTCACTTATTTTGGGTGGTGTTTGGTAGCAGTATATGTTGAATTCATCATATCTATACTCCTGAGTAATTTTGTACTTTCTGAGAGAGTTCTCGAATCTATTATCAATATATCCCTTTTATCAAATTTATTTATCGATCTATTATCATTTTTAACTTATTTATCAAATTATCACTGTTTTAAAAACAAATTTGATAAATCCGATTTCATGGGAAAAGCGAATTTGACAAATTCAACTTCATTTAGAAAGCGGATTTAACAAATCCGACTTCATTTGGAAAACGGATTTGATAAATCCGACTTCATAAAAAAGTGGACAGTCTTTATATGGAAAGCGGACATACCAAATCCGCCTTTATATGGAAAGCAAACTTACGAAGGTGCAAGCCTTTATATGTATAATTGTGTTAATCGCCAAAAGAGTATTTAGCTATTTATTGAATACGTTGGTCTCTCTGATTCTATATTCTTTGTGAATAAATTACTCACCTTTATTAGTCGTTAAAAATCCACTAATAGATTCTATCTAAATTTATTAGTTATAACTCGTGTCTGAAGGCATGATAAAATATAAAATTCGAGCATCCAAAAAATCGATCATATTATATTAAATTTTTTTAAAATATATTAATTATAAATTAATCAAATATTAAATAATTAAATATATGATAAAAATGAGTGATTTATTTTTTAGGGAGAAAATATATAAAGTCAAGAATTTTGGGTGGTATTCCAGGA